GTCTCTTGTTGAAATCTCCCACCTAGACTAGCCTGCTGTGTTTCATTCCATTTCTGAAAGTTTTGTTAAATTCACACACACACACACACACACACACACACACACACACACACAGAGCCATCCTATATTTAAATGAAAAATTGTTGAAATTTTTATGCTAATTTTATAAGATGCAAGTGTTGATAGCTCACTTCTACTACAGATTTCAAAGATAACATGAATTGTTCATGTGTTCAAAACTTAACTGAAGGAGAACTAATTTCAGAGCAGAGAGTGTGGTTGGTATTATTCCTGTCTAAAAATCACTTTTTCTGGAGGAATGACTTTGAGATAGAGCTGGGAACAAGATTATTGCCTCATAAAACAACATGAGGTTACTGTTATTCCTTAATTTTATATCTTTGTTGTAAGGTAATACTTTTCTTACTTAATCTAAAGAGGGTTCTTATCCTTTTCTCATATGTTTGTGAAAGCTAAATGTTAAAGGATTTAACATAACCACTATTACTAAATTATGATGTAAAATAATACTGTGTCTCCAATTAACCTAGGTAGTTTTACTTGGTTCAATAATATAAAATTACTGGACTCATAACATTTTGGTACCTTAGTGAGTTTGGCAAAGAATGAAATTCATGTTATTGTTAAAACTAAAGCTAAAAGACAATTGGTCTAAATGTCAACCAACTATAACGTGAAGTATTATGTTGTAACATAGCACATTGATGCAAATCACTCCCCAACTGCAACACTAAACGGATTTTGATGGCTTACAAACAAACAAGAATAGTTTTTACTTCATACTCTAGGCTCCAAAATCTTTTCTGAAACCTTAATTTTCCTCAAGGTAGCTAAAGTGTACTGAAGCAGTGAACCTTCAGAAAACTTACAACGTTTTCTTGATAAACAGTACTTTCAATTTAATTCTTACATCATTTTTGAAAATATTGCAATTAAATTTTGATCACATTTTAACATAATTTCAGTGTAATACTTGTACATGTTTCAAGTGAGTTGTGTCCCTAAAAGATGCTTTCAATCCTTATCTTTTTTTTTGTATTTTAGGGAAGGGTCTACAGAGTGTTCAAGTTCTCACTACTAGATTGGCCTTGTAATGATCTGCCTGTTTACAGCCTCCCAAGAGCTGGAATTACAGGCATGCACCACCACGCCCAGTCTCAATGGCTGTCTCAGAGCACCCTGGGGGTGGAGCCAGCACAGCAGGCCTGGGAATCCAACCCTTGGCTCCTGTTCCTGCTTGCAGGCACTTTAATCTGCTGAGCTATTTGGCCGACCCTTCAAATTGTATCCTATACTTATAAGTATAATTTAATTTGTAAAAAGACTCATCACATTAGAACAAGGACTTCCTGGGTTAACATGGGCCCTAATTCATGACTAGTTTACCTAATAGAGGAGGAAATTTGGACAGGGACAGGCTGGAGAAAGCCACCAAAGAAGGTCACATGAAGAGCGAGGTCAGAATTGTGCCCCTTGAGGATGAGGAAGAGATCGAGAGCGTCAGAGATTTCCAGTGATCACCAAAGGCCAGAAAGCACAAAGAAAGATTTAAGGAGCATAGACAGAGAGGAACAGGAGAGGAAGGAGCTGTAGCAATCTGTGTAAGCAGGAGGGTTTGGACAGTTGTACTGTGGATTTCTGCTGGTCTGTGGGAAGAAGCAGTTGATGCTTAATTTGTTTATTTTCTTTTTTTCTTTTTTTCTCCTTTTAAATTTTATATATTTTTTTCCTTTTTCCAATTTTGAATGCATAGATCTGGTAATCTGACCAACTAATTTGAAGACAACCCTGTGCAATGCAAAAACTACTGTCAAATTCATAGTATTTTGTTCAGTGAAATTCTTTATCACTTGTAATTTTTTGTTTTTATTATCATTTTGTATTCTCTTTAAAAAGAAAAAGTAAGGAACATAGACTTATGCCTTGATGTAGGACCTCTACTTTCTTACACCATGCCAGTATGAGTGTGTATTCCATTAACCCACCCAGCTTGTGGTTGTTATAGTAATTTTACGAAACAAATCCAACATATTATGTTTTTAAATGGTAGGTTTCAAGTCATCCATGCCAACAGGCATCAATAATAATTTTATTAAAAGTTTATGTTATTTTTAAGTTAAGTGAACAGGAAATTATCTGGTAGATAATATTCAATATTGAATTTTATTAACATTTAAAATAGTCTCTTTAATAAGTAGCATTTCCATGAATGTTTCTATTTTTATTGAGAGGATACAAAGTGAAAAGTGAAATGGAGCAAACCATGTACCTAAAAATAGGGACAAAACAGATTTTTGTGGAAATAGTCATGTATTTGAGATACAGTGTCAAAGCTATAATTACCTAGTTTATTCATTTTTTTATGACACCATAATGAATACCATTATTACACTTCATTCAATTGACATTTATTGAACACCTACAATTTTCAGGCACTGAGATAAAGGCTATAGGTTACTCTCAACAAAAGGTGTCCATTATCTTCCCTTTAAGAAATTATTCTGCCTTTAAAATTTAAACTTAGAAGAACCCTTTATTAGTACAAGTTTGCAATACATGGTAACTACTTTTGTGGTGAGGCCACTTGGAATTCTACCTAGAAGTTCATTTTCACCATATGCTACAGTTTTAACTGATCCTGTAGCATTAGATGGTCTTACGTGTGCATTATCCTTGTATTGTAATGGAATCGATATGATTTTATTAATTTTACTGCCAATATAAATCATCTACCTGAGAGGATGGAAGAAGGTCACATTGGATGGACAGGTGTGCAGGCAGGTCAATCTCAGGTGGACAAGTGGCTTCTACTGACTATGGCGCACACTGTATCCCAAGCCAGTGTTGGTGTCTGGGCCTGCGTGGAGTGTGAAGGACCAAGGATTGGCTCTGGAATTCTATTAGGACAGGAGGAATAAGCTAGGGAGGAGAAGGAACTAGGACTAGAGTGAGAAACCTGGACGTCTGGATGACTGAGAGGAACAAGGTGAAGGTGCGAGCTAAGAGGGTGGAAGGTGGAACTTTTCTACCATCATTTCTCAGCACTCTCCTATAGAGTTATATTCTTTAGTATACTTCATAATATGCTTTATACCACCTTCACCTATTTTATATGTCTTTTAAAATAGTATTTCTTTTCAAATTGTTGGATTTCTAGTTTTGAAATATTTTAAATCACTCTCATTGAGACCATGCACATTACATATATCATATAATCATTTTTGGACCTATCTGCTAATGAAAAACAACATTATTGAAGTTGTGTCTCTGTGTTTCTAGAAGCATAGAATATTTTAGAATTGACATTTATATTTTCCTTGTAATTTTAAAGCATTTTGCATAATAATGATAAAGATAACAGGCTTAGTTTAGAAACATTGTGAAGCACAACACAAAAGATCATGTCTACCAGGTTGTCCTAAGGAATAGGGATATGGCTGTATGTAGCCCTCAGTGAAACATTTGCTGCACTGATAGTAAACTTCACTGATAGCCTCTTGTTTCTCTACAAAATATTTTTCCAGTTAAATTATAATTTTCAAAATGTTGCCGTCATTATTCCTTGAAATGTGGCTTTAATAATTTACTTCTATGTCTGCTCTTCAGAAGATCATCTTTTATTCTTTTTTCTTTTAGCTTCCTTTTCTTTTTCAAATTAATATTTGAAGGACTAGGAATGGATGATTATTGTAAATTATATTAATTTGTGTGTTTGAATGGTTTGTGGTTACTGACAGTAACATTGTAGGGTAACTATGTTTCTATATTTGAATTATAATAGCTGCTGATATGCTAAGGATGTTAGCCTGTTGTATTTGATTTTTGTGAAAGAAGGTTTTTTTTGCAAGATTTTTGTGAGCTTTTTAATTTTTTTCTACTTTGGAAGTCAAGTACTTCATTTTATTATTAAACCTTCATTACACTGTAAGGTATTATTTTCCAAACTTCAATATACCTTAGATTTCTTTTAGCAAATACGGTTGAAAATTATCCAGCTAATCTGTTTTTTAAAAATTAATTTTATTGAGAAACAAATAGCAATGAGACAGTTTCAAAACCGATTACTAGGACAGTTTCAATAATTAATACACTGCATATTGTGGTTTTCATAGTGGTTATTCATAGTACAAGATGCAGATGTGATATCCTGTCCAAACACTATTAGTACAAATCTTTCTTCTCATTGAATTAAGAGAGAATTGTGCTTTTGAATTTTGAGAGCGTATGTGTGGGAGGATTGGGAAGGCTACGTGGCTATTTTTTGTCCTTCTACTTGTAAAATCCTACTCTATCTGGGAATTTAAAATTTATACTGCCTTTTCTTAGACTTTGTTTTCATTTTAATCTTACTGGAAACTGTAATATGTATTGTGTCTTGGATGGTTATCTGATTACCTCGCTAGCTTACTGACCAAGTTTCTTCCCCGTATTTATTTATTATACTCTTTTTTTTTAGTCTTATTTTCACTCTCTTTAAAAAAATTAACATTCACTGTCTTTTTAAGCATTTTTAAGTCATTCTTAGAGATGAACATGCCCATCTGGTAACTGAGACACATTTTCCTGTTATGAATCTGTTACACTAAAACACACACTGCATTTCCTGAGTTTATATTATGTACTTTTAAAAGTAAATGATTAATGAAGGTTTTTTATTTTTAAGTTATCAATTGTTTAATGATAGTCTTCTTTTAGCAAATGAAGTTCTAATTATTTATTGTAGATTGTGCCTGTAAAGCTGTTTTCAGATATTTTTGTTGATCTGCAAGATTATTGAGTCGGTATCATAATAATCATGCTATTATTTGCAAGATTATTTTTGTATCAGCTACAGAGATAATATTAGTGAATTTTGTTCTTCAAAAAATTCTACAAATCACCAACAGACCCACTAAATCTTATTATGTTTTGGTAATTTTACAAATGAATGAAAAGATAACCCTCTCCTTCTCCCCCTTATTCCCATCTTTTGATTTTAGAGATTCCATTTGTAAGTGAAGGAAGCTGCTTCTACTTGGGAGTGGCAGGAAAAGTGAGAAAACCACATGGAAGACTCCCAGGATTTAAATGAACAATCAGTAAGTCTGAATCCAACCTCTGTTTTGTTAAAAAAAAAATACAAGTCGTGATATAACTACTCAAAACCATACTTATGATGAGTATTTTGTAAACAGTGTTTTTTTGTGAATATATTTTTGTTGCTTTTTGAATACTAAGGCTATAAAACTGACCACTGGAGAGTTATGCTGTTTCTGTTTAATGATGACATCACCTTTTCATGTCTCCCTTGATTTTCTACCTTGGAAAGCCAGTGGAAGAAAGATGAGGGTGTTGAAATCATGCTGTGTATTTTAGACGGTCTGAACTTTTATGTACTTCCTTTGCAATGTTTTGTTCCAGCTATATTGGATAGTATACATGTCATTGGCCATCAGAAGCATAAGAGGAGAAAGTATATAATTAGCATGCTTCTTGCTCATTTCAAGGATGAAAACCACAGTTCTCAATGGTATTCCTGATCTTACTAGGTTTATTGCCAGTGTTCTGATTATCCTTTGAGGATTCTGATTTCCTAAGAGTAAGGCTTTATATAGTCTTCCCATCTCATTAGTAGTTTGTTGTGACACTAGCATTTTACTGTGAGCGACTAGGAGGGAGGATTTCTCCAAAATCCTGAAGACTACCCCCAAGGTGTCTGCATGCAGGTAGTGATATCATAGGGAAGAAGACCTGCACTTAGCAAGAGCATGTTCTGCAGACTGATGTTGTTCTTTATCAACTTATAAGATCATGATTAAGCTTAAAGTCTAAATTTTCCTTCAAGCAACTGAGAAAAAAACACTTCTATGTAATAACATCATTTGAGGAAAGATAAGCGAGAGGAATGTCTGCTTTGGTGTTTACCTAGCATTCTAAAGTGATTTCATTTGTTTTCTAGCAGACATTTTAGTAGTGATTGCCATATCTTTAATTTAGACAGACAAGATCATAGCTTAGTTTCATTATATATTATTATTAATATCATATAACTTCATTACAGGAAAAATGTAACAAATAATTACACTGCTACAAAACTATTGAATTATCAAATTAGAGATACAATTATTGAAAATAGTATCACTTTTTAGAAAAGTAGACAAAAATGACAAGGAGGAGGCATGGGTTCCATAACTTTTTGCAAGATGCTGTCTATTGAATTTAAATATCACAGCATAAATTCCTAAAAAATGGATGCTACTCAGCCTGATTGCTTTTTTTCTCCCCCACACACTGCCATTTTGGGGTCTTGCTGGAATCAGAGCTTTATGTGTGACCATTACCTGGAGTAAGGAAAAGATGATTGCTTTCATAAGAAGAGTACTGTTGATCTGTATTTAAAATGTGCACTCACACATTCATGTGTGTGTGTGTGTGTGTGTGTGTATTTGGTGACCAACTCCAACTTGTCCCTGTTTACCAGAGACAGGGTTTTCCAGGGACATACAATTCAAGCACTAAACCAGACAGAGACCTAATAAAGAGAATGGCAAATGCCATTAGCATGTGTGTATATGTAAGAAAGAAATTTTGTTTTCAGTGCAGTTGAAGTTAAAGAGAGCACGTTTTTCTATTTTAATGTAAGTGAGGTATTATCTAAGATGCTTCATAGCATCTTTTAGAAATTAATATCTGGGACTTGGAAATAATGTATATACAATAATTCTGATGTCCTTCCAATGATGTTTTAAGGTTGCTGCTTTTAAAAAATATATTTTCTTAAAGTGTCCAGTGATGCTAATGTGCAGCCAGGTTTGAGGACCAAAAATGTAGAGTGCCCTTCCAGGCTTCTCAGCTCACCCCTATTTGCTAAATTTAGATTTAGAACATGAAGACCAAACTGTTCAACCCACAAATGTTCACAGGGACACTCAGAGCCGCTAAGTGATTTGCCCATGTTGACATGACTGGCTGGTGGCAGAGTTGGGACTTCATACTGGTCTTCTGACTCCAAGTCCAAAGCGCTCTTAATAACTCCAAAATGCCTGATCTTTTTGGGTTGTCTTATTGTGCTATTCAGCCCTACAGAAATATAAAAAAAACTTTTTTTGCGTAAAAATTATTTCTAATTGAATGAAGTCTTTGAATGACTTTGAATTTTGAAAAGTAGGATAAAGAAGGATAGAATTAAAATAAAATGAATAGTAAGATGTAAGGGAATATACTGACATCATAGTTATTTTACTTTAAGAAGAATTTTTCTCTGGGAACAGATTTAGCAATAAGCATTTATGCCATGTGCATACTCCATTCTGCATTTTCCATACCTTCTTCCCATCCTCACCAAATCTTTGCAGTGTAATTCCAGAAGCTGCTGTTTTACACATGAGAAAATTATGATCTAACCAAGGTCCAACAGTTGTTTGGCACCAGGGATTAGAATTGAACCCATTTTTCTCTGGCCCCAAAACTTATACTGCATTTTGTTTGATACACCATAATGTGGGCTTAAGCTGTAAACCTACAGCATGTACATAGCTTATACCTATTCAGAATTTAAGTTCTTCTTCATCTTCATGGTGGGGAGAAAAATAAAAAGATGTCACCTGAATTGCTTACACGATCCTTGCTTGGGCTTTTGACGTATGGTCCTATTACAGATACCTTCAAGGTTAAAGAGAATATATTTAGTAGTTTAATATTCAATACTATTTCATTTCCTTCTGGAAATACTTGCCTGGAAGACAAGATCTTTCTCGCTCTGCTTGTACATCTCAGTGAGGACCATCAGCAGCTATGGAACAGATTACATCTGAAAATAGGTGGTTATTTTCCTTTCTTCCATCTACCATCCTCCATTCTTCTTGCTCCTAAATTTATTATTTTGTAAACAGCTCAGGTTTATTATTTTGGATCCTTATTTTAACTCTCAACTGCCTTATTCTGCTTTATGTTGCTTCTAGGGTTGGTTTTCAAAAATAAACATGAGATCACGTCCCTGCTGGCCTTTTTTGTCCTTCCTGGGCCCTTTCCTATCCTTAGGAGAAGACCATATGTGTGGTTAAGCACAAAAGGCTTAACGCCTGCTTATTTATTTCTTCACCCTTATTTCTGGTGTCTGACACTTCTCTGAATCTCCCAGGTCCCCTGAGATGGTTGTGGAACTTCTTCCCCCATGGACCTCTTTCCCACCAGAGCAGCCTGTCGTTCTGGAAGATTCAATTTCAGTTTTGCTTCTGAAGAACCTTCCTGAGCTTTGCCTTGGTTCCACCCCAGCTGGCCATGATGGGAGGCCATGCTGGCATCCAGTGTGCTGTCACGACCTTTTGGCATTTACCTCTGACCCAGCACTCACCCCTCACATCTGAAACCTGAGCTGTTTGCTCGCTTGTCTCTCCACCAGATTATAAACTCCTTAAGAATAATGGCAGATCCTCTTCATTTTATACCCTTCCTTCTTAGCACACTTCTTGCTGATGTTCAATAAATGTCCTCTTCTGATGATTTTTACGTACTTTGGTGAGGTCTAGAAATGAATGGCTAATGAATGAGGTTAATGAATTGGCTACATATTTTACAAAGCAAAAAATATTCTCAGGATATGTTATGTTTTTATGAGTTCATATTTGATTTACTGTGAGAAAAAAACTGTGTTGAAGTCTAATGTTAGATCAACCACAGTTAGCTCTTAATTTTTTTCCCCAATATGTATGGCTGTTACTTTTTTGCATGGCTTTTATGAGACAAGCAACTAAAAATAAGAATTAATTATCATAAATAGTTTAACATTTTACCAGACAGTTCAACATTGGAGCTTCTAACTATATAGAATCAGGTTAAATTATAGACACTTACACATTACTATTATTAATTCTAAAAGTGTAATTCTTGTTAATGGAAATGTCCATAAATCTCAGTCATACATAACAATGTCTTTCTTGTATTATAGAATACTTTATCTTCTGTATTCAAATAAATGGTGTAATATATACTATGTTACATATTTGTCATAGCCTTATACATTGTGATGTTTTCCACTTCTCTCTTGGTGGAGTTGAGTATTACCATAGGCTTTTTCTCTTCTGATTCATTCAGATCAAATTGAGGCAGAATGTATAGCCTAAATTTATGATCAGGTTGGAAGATTTGGAAAGAAAAATTGCTTATTAATTTTAAGTAGCATGTGTTAAAAATGAAAAGTTAGTGGATACTAGATAAATGAAATAAAATGGATTTGTTATAATTTGCAGTAGATTTTTTTTACTAAATGATATATATGAAGGGCCTGGATATTTTTTTTTTCAATAATGTTAATGTGTAGTTGACTTATATTTTTGATGGTGTGTTTCAGTACATAAATTTATTAGTATCTTTTGATGCATGCTATATATATATATTTTTTTTTGAAATCCATGTACTTGTAGATCTAGATAGTGCTAAGCACATTAATTTAATATCTGTCAAAATTCTAGAGTAACTTTTATAAATTAATCTCACTTCTATTGCTTTCTCTTAGACTGTCACATGAATGAATATTACTCAGTTTTCTATTTGAGGAGATTCTCTGGAATTTGGTCGTAGCCTCTAGCTCACGTTGCTCTGTAACCTTTTGGACAGATTTCGATCCATTGCATAAAAAGGGACACACCATTGAACCTGTCATCCAGACAGAACTTGGCAATCACCAGTTTCTTCCAGTGTTTAAGCAGCATGCCAGACTATAATTATTTGTAAAAATTTTGCATTTCTATAACATTTTAACACAAAAGAATGAAAAGCTGATTATTATTATTATTATTATTATTATTATTATTATTATTATTATTTTGGCCATCCTAAATCAATTTGATCAGCACACTTTTTTGTTAGGTATTTAGTACAGGGTGTACAGGGTCTCCCTACACAGATCAGACTTGTAGTGAACCTCCTGTTTTTCAGCCTCCCAAGATTACAGGCGCACACCACTACACTCAGTCTCAGTGACCTTCTTAGTGTGCCCTGAGGCAGCAGGGCTAGCACAGCACACCGGGGATCGAACCCTGGTTCCTGAGTCTGCCTAAGCAGGCACTTTAATCTGCTGAGCTATCTGGCTGGCCCTGGG